TGACTTTGGGCAGGTGACTCAATCTCCCTGAGCCTCAGGTTCCTTGTCTATAGAATAGAGAGGCATGAATACCTACATCTCAGGGTTATTTTTTTTTTTTTTTGAGATGGAGTTTCGCTCTTGTTGCCCAGGCTGAGTGCAATGGCACAATCTCAGCTAACTGCAACCTCCACTTCCCAAGTTCAAGTGATTCTCCTGCCTCAGCCTCCTGAGTAGCTGGGATTACATGCGCCTGGCACCACGCCCAGCTAATTTTTTGTGTTTTTAGTGGAGATGCGGGGTTTTGCTATGCTGGCCAGGCTGTTCTCAAACTCCTGACCTCAGGCAATCCACCTGCCTCAGCCTACCAAAGTGCTGGGATTAGAGGTGTGAGCCACCTCGCCTGGCTCAAGTTATTGTAAAACTTAGTTGAGGTGAGAAAAATGTATGTAGGTGTCTAGCACATGATACTTAATAAATGGTAAATTTTAAAATGTCTTTACTTATTTTGGTGGTCTGACAGCTTCTAAAGCTAGGTTCATGTCCTAATCCCCAGAACCTGTGAATGTTACCTTATCTGGAAAATGGGTTCATCTTTGAGGATATGATTAAGAATCTTGAGATGGGGAGATTATTCTGTATTATCCAGGTGGGCCCTAAATGTCAACACAAGTGTCTTATGAGAGAGAGAGAGGGGGAGAGAGAGAGAGAGACAGAGGTAGGGAGAGACAGAGATTATACATATATGAAAGGTGTTGATTATACATATATGAAGGTGTTGTGAAGACAGAGGCAGAAATTGCAGTGATGTGGCCACAAGCAAAGGAATGCTAGTAGCCACTAGAAGCTGAAAGAGACAAGGAACAGATTTTCCTTTAGTACCTCCAGAAAGAGCACAGCCCTGACAACACTTTGATTTTGGTACTGTGAAATGGATGTGGAACCTCTGGCCTCCTCCTTGGAGCATCCCTTGGCTTGGCAGCCTAACATGAGTAAGGCTGATGTCACCATGTGAGTTACTCTGGACCCTCCAATGGGGACAGCACATCCAGATTCTGAGGGCTGCTGTCAATTCAGAAAATTGTGAGGCACTGTGCTAACTGAAAGAATAAACTTCAGTTGTTTTAAGCCACCAGGGTTGTGGTTAATTTGTTACAGCAGACTTGGGAAACTAATACACTTATACTGGAGATTTCGTCTTGAACAAAACCAGTTCATGGTCTAGTGGGACAAGAGAGAAGTAAACTACATAGAGGCACCCAGAAGGGGGGCACCTTGCCAGAACTGGGGAGTGGACAAGTAAGGCAGGCAAGGCTGGTGGAGTTGGAGGACTTAGCCAGGTGAGGGGCTGAAATAGGAAGGGCATACCAAGCAGAGAAAACAGTGTAGGTAAAAGCATGGATAGGAGAAAACACTGCTTTCAGGAAACTGCCCATGTTTGGGATGGCAGGTGTGTGTGGGGTTGCGGGGGTAGCATGACAGAATTGCTGAGGTGGGGAGCAGGGGTAAGAGAGCCAAAGATCTTGGCTTCCACCCAGAATGGACTCAAACCCTCCACTCTGCCCTGGCACTGGGCTCAGGTCGTAGAATCCCAGACTGTCAATATTGGAAAAAAGCCTTAGAGACCATCCAGTAGTCTTGCCAGTTCACACATAGAGAAACTGAGGCTCACAGAAAGTTAGCCAATCCAGGGAATAAGCAAGAACCAATTGGCTGTACTCTGACCTCTCTCTTGAGCCTGGGTGTCCCATATCTGAGGATCTCAGACACTGTCTGGAGGTCCCTCTGCAACCCATTTCCAAAGAGCACTGGCCTTGTAGTCTCTAGACAAAGAGGGTGTCATTTGCATATTATTTGCATGTTGCTAATTGGATGAGAGAGGCAGATTCATTCAGGCCCTCCCCTTCACGTCCCCCCATCCTATTTCACTCACATCAAGTTGTTCTTCCTCATACCTCTCTTGACCTCAACAACTTCCAGAATTCCAGCCCAGGCCTCACTCCTCAAGTTCCTGTACGTAGGCCCAGCTCAACCCCTACTATATATATAAACATTTGGTGCTTCCTGGAAAAATTGCTTGTATCTAGTCTGGGTGGAAGAGCAGGTTACAATGGAAAGGGAGGCTGTCCAGTTTGAAGTTTTTCTGGGAATGGGGAGAAGTGGCACTGTAGCCCAGAGGCCATCTGAATAAGGCTGTGGGAGTGGGGGAGGAGGGTGTTCCTTGGGGATCTGGTGGGCAGGTGCCAGCTGCATGCCCCAGGCCTTCCCCAAGCCTCTTGGCTGGCAGCCACACCAGCCCCTTGAAGGTGCTGGCTCCTTCTTTGAGGGAGGAAGAATTTTAGGGAAGGTCTTGGAGCATCCCTTGGCCTGGCAGCCTAACATGAGTAAGGCTGATGTCACCATGTGAGTTACTCTGGACTTTCCAATGGGGACAGCACATCCAGATTCTGAGGGCTGCTGTCAATTCAGAAAATTGTGAGGCACTGCGCTAAAGTAAAGCATGGTGTCTCCCTGAAGGCAGGCACTCAAAAAATGTTTTCTGATAATGAGAGGCCACCTGTCTCCTGGAGATAGGTAAGGAGCGGGAATCAGAGGGAGGCACAGACTGCCTCTCTCATCTCCCATTAGCCCCCTCTTTCCTTTGAAACCAAGGCTGTGCCCAAAACCTCTCCCAGATGAGATGTCTGAGCCTGTCTTTTGGTGATCACCAGAGAGGGCACCACACTGTGGCCAAGACAGGTGCACAGGATGACCTCAGGTTCCCCCTGTCCCCATTCTGGCAGAAGAGCTGCAGAGCTCCATCACCATGGCTGACTCAAGCAGCTACCAGGAGCTGGGAAATTAGGATAAATGGAAAGACCTGTGGCACAGTTCAGGCTAGCAACCTGCAGAAGTCAGCTTGCTCTGGGGTTACAAAAGTGGCCTGGATAGGGAAAGAAAGGCTGCCTTCCATGTGCAGGTAATTCCTCTCCATCCATGGGCGATGTGTGAGCTATGTGCATATGTGCTGCAGAGACCTCATCAAGCATCCCAGCCTGGATGCACAGCTGTGTGCACACATCCCATTGGCAACAAGTCTATGTTGTATGTGAATGTCTTCATGGAATTCCACCTTCCCTCTTCTCTGCAGAGGAGGCCTTCTCTTCTTGTTTCCTGGTAAAATAGGAAGTGAGGGAGTAACTTCAGTTTCATCACCTCTAGCCCTTCTCCCTTGTGGAACACCCTCCATTTGGCCATTTGCCTATGACAGCAAGCAGTAGATCCATTCTCGGTCCTGAGTGATCCTCACTAGTCTAGATGACCCCATCTTGAACAAATTCCTCTATCCTGGTACCTCCCTCTTCCCCTAGTGTGTCCCATGTCAATACCTCCTCTAATATTCAAATCAAAGGGAGAGAAGGGAGGAACTTGGGGTGATGCTGTGGGTGTGGGAGGAGGAAGGGTGCATCAGATACTGTTCGATTTTGCCCAGGTCTCCTCGGAGCACTGCTGCTCATTTAAAATTCCGATTTAAAGCCGAGCGGCTCTTTAAATTTCCACATTAGCATGCGGCCCTGATGCCAGGCCAAGATGTTGGGATGGATTTGGCAGGAACGCCTCCAACAGCAGCAAGCAGCAGCATTTGCCAGCAATAAAACAACGCATGAATAAAAGAAGGCCGCTTGGCAGCAGCAGCAGCCCAGGTAGCTGGGTCAGCCTGGGAGAGGCTTTTGTACATGGGGGCTCAGAGGCATGAAGGCCCACGTGGGGCATGTGTGTGAGTGCCTCTGTGGTTGTCTTAGCTTTCATCCCCATCTATGCCTGCAGTGGAATTTGTGGTGAAGGCCCAGGCAAGATCAGGATTTCTCCCTTGTGCCTGTCTCACCCTCCTCCCCCCGGGGGTTATCTTCTTAGAGGGGACAGATGTTGTCTTTGATAAGGACACAAGGACTTGGCCTGAAGCTTGAGTTGTCCTGCTTCATTAGGGCCCAGAGAACAGGTGGAGCCAGAGAGACTAACACTGCCCAGAGTGCCTTCCAAGATCCATGACCCCAGATACCCAGGTACTGACGGGCACTGTTAGGATAAGGGGGCTGAGAGGCCCCTGTGAGCACTGGGTATTGGTGCTAGTTGGATGAAGAGATGCTCCGGGCTGCAAGGCTGGCAACTAACTGTGTGCTTGCCCAAGGTTAAGAATGGGGAGTAGCCACATACAGCAAGGAGCTACTATGCTTGGCTTAACTTTAACTCTCTATAGATGTGGGAACACTGAGGTCAGATGGCAAGGGCAGCAAATGAGTCAGATAAAGACCTGGCTGGAGGCTGGATACCTCACAGAGGTCATTTCATCTACCCCCTGCTTCCCAGGGTCTAGAGAGTGCAGACCCAAAGGACTGGCTGTTCCTGGATTCTGTGTTCCTCTGCTCCAATCACCTGGCCAAGGCTCATCACCCAGCTCCCCAGACATTTTTAGGAGCAAGCAGCCTGTCCTGCATCTGGTAAACTGCCTATCCCTCCTACCTAGTTTAACCATCTCTTTTCCCTGAAGTTCAGGTTAAGAGGACAGAAGCAAACAGAGGGGTGGCAGCAGATGGTCTCTGCAGTCTCAGCAAGGCAAAAA